TTTCACGGCGCTCTTGGTAATGTGTTAGGAAGCCTTCCTGACATCAAAATTTATTTTAAAGGAAAGCTTGTCCTAACAGTCAGAAAAGCCTTGAAAAGCTCATCTCTTGAGCCTTGATAACTTTTTAGAAGCTACTCCAATGTCCACTGAAGCAAGCGGAAAGGCTCCCAGTGACTTCAGGATATATTTTATTGGAGCACTTAAGCAAGGAGTTGGTTAAAGTGAGTACCTGCTTTGAAGATGTTAACATTCACAACGTCCATGAATGATGTGTTCTAGTACCTATTCGGTTTATTTTATTAAGTAAGAGTATTTTTCATAAATCTACTCTCAACATTACCAGGACAAAGCAAATTCTCAGTTCTGAGCTGGCTTTAGAAGGCAGTCAGTTTGTTGTTAGTTAATTTGATTGGAAAATTAATGGGGCACGTAACCGGATGAATGGTGTTGAGAGACTTCATGGTTCTGTCTGTTCATTGCTGAATGACATATTGGATACCTTATGTGGAAAATGATGGCAAAAAGTGAAGCTATTCAGCAATTATTTTTTCTTTTTTCATTGTTGGGCTTTCTGACTCTGACAGCAGCATATCTGCCGTATGAATCCTAACTGCTCCTCTCCAGAAAGGGTGATGGGATTTTATGGGAATTCTTGCTTGTAAGTGTCATCATGAAAACAGGACCTGCAAAGCCTTCTCTGTGATTCACCACAACAAAAGACCTTTTGTTTCAAAAGCCAGACAAGACTGGTATTGGGCTGCATACTTGACTAACACGTCATGTACAAAACCAACCACTTAAAATCATGGAAAATTCAGGACATCATAAATCTTACACCAACTGCATCATTTTATTTATTCAAATTTTTTTTTCAGATATTTAAAATAAACAAAATATGTTCCTTCATAGGCTGTAAGCACTCTGCCAATTTAGAACTGCAAAACCAAAATGCAATATAATTGACTCACTGCTTCTACCAAACTGAAGTAAATAAACACTGGAGCCCCATTCATCCCCATTCCTCTTTAGGCTCCTCAAAGAGCTGATCCAACACATGGGTCTTGTAGCATGTCTAAAAGTCAATAAATACAGGTGGTGTCAGACTACAGGAAGGGATTTATGAAGCCCTGGAAGATTTTTTGTGAGTATCTTGCTGGCTATACCTTCTCTATTATATTGAAAGGAACATAATCCAGTCTCAATGTTTCTAATGCCTGCATCTCTGAGAGATACTTGACTGAGTATTTGTCTTAGGAAGGATCTTCCCTGAAGGCTCAGTCTTCCTGTGCCCAAACCATCATATTCAAATCAGTCAGGCCACTCAAAAGTAGCCTGGGTCCCAGAGCAGAGATGCACATCCCAGGTGTGTGATTGCCTTCTGTACCACAACCTGCTTCCAATTAAATTGCAATGTAGCCCCATGTGAAGGATGTGCTGCAGGACTAAGCCAGAAATGACAAAAATACAGATGATGAGTGCAAGTTATCCATCTGAAAGTAATGACTGTGGCCATTGAGGCAGGCACGTGTAATGGAATCTCTGAGAATCACTGTCAGAAGTGAATGTAGCCCCATTGAGGGGAGAGGACCATCTAGGAAAGAGGGCCTTTCTATGAATGGTGTGCTGGAGGATCAGAAGAGGATGGCACTGGGCAGCAGAAGCAATTACAGACCTCAAGGGATTTGGTGAAACTGAGGAGGTCTTAAACCACTGGTTTTGTTAAGTTTCATTACCCTGGACTCAAAGAGAAAGGCTCTGTGATGACAGCCCTGAATTTGTTAGGTGGTCTTCTGAGAAATACATTTGGACCCTAAAGCAAAGGGAGGCAACCTGAAGAGGGTGGCTGGGATGTGACACAGCCTGGTGCTGCATGCTGACCATATTTGGAGATGGAAGGATGGCTTTGAGGATGTTTGTCTGCCTTCTCCAAGAAGAAAAGCAGGCAAAGTTTGGATATAATTTACTCACTGGAAAGGTAAATGATTTACTGATGGAGGTGTTGGTGTGGATAGCCAGGAGGTTATTAAAGTCACAATGAAGAAGAAATTTAAAAGATGGAACAATACACTTTGCTTAGTAGAAAATCAGACTCCTAAGCAAGTAAAGAATGAAGCTGTCCAAGGACATGATGCCAACAAATTCAGTTATTCCTGACCCATCAGTGTTGGGTAACTGGGTGTATATTTCACATAACTGTACCAAAGTTGGGTAAGATGCACAAGTAGAATATTAAGTGGATGGCAAAAATTTGACAAGTATGTTTCTTTTTCTTTGTGACTTACATAAAACCTCTCTTTGAGGCAGTCTGAATATTTTTCTCATTCTAAGTGTGAATAGAAAGAAAATGAATATGCAACTTTGGCCACAAAAATTAACTACAATCTAACAGATTTTAAAACTCTATTTTTAAGTCAGAATAAAATTGGAAAACAAAGGCTAGATTTGCTGGAGAGGGGGTTCAAAGGGCAATTATTCAGGGATTAGGATGCTCACCCAAGACCACAGGGGTCCAGATTTCTTTGCCAAATGTGGATCAGAGCCTTGAGTCCATCCTCCCTTATGACTGAATAGAGAGTTTATTTCTTCAGCAAAACCTGACCTAATTATGACATATAGAGAGAAATTGATTACAGAGCTGAAGAAAATGTCTGCTTATGTGCAGAAGATCATGCCTTGATTTTATTTGTATGCAAAAAGAGTAAAATGTGAACCAGTAGTATAGATTCTTGGTTCTTTAAAGAGGCCAGTTTTGTAAAGCTGAAAACAATTATAAGTCAGATCTACTGGGAGAATTTAAACAGAAAAATGTGAATGATAATTGCAAACCGTTTAAAAACATTTTACTAAAAAGTCATAGTTGTTATAAAATAAAACAACATAGCTAAAGTGAAAGCTGTTCTACTATAAAAAAACCCCACATGTAACACTTGAAAGAAAGAATGATGCAACCAAAATTAATTTAAATCAGAAGATAGGAATGGTGATAAATTTCCAAGGGAAGCAAGAGAAGTGTAAGTAGAGGTGTTTGCCCAGCAGAGTTAAGGATCATACAAGTTAAGGACAAGAAGTTTTTGATGTATTTAAGGGAAGAAAACCTATCTGTGCTGTTTCTCTCAGTAGATAAAAATGGTAAAATTATTTATACTAACACAGAGAAGACGAGAATAGTTTTCTGTGTTGGTTGGAAAAAGCCAGTTGAAAATACATATAATCCTGCAATAGTGATGATGTATTTTCCATTACAACAATAATTCAAGAAAATATTTTAACAGCAGCTACTAAAGTAGGTATGTTAAATGAGAGACTTGAACAACTTCTGTCCACAAGTTTGAAAAGAACAAGTCAAAAAACTTATTTGACTATAAATAATGTTTTTCTAGAAGACATTGAACACTAGGAAAGTTTGAGGGAACCGGAAAGATACAGACTTATTGGTATGACACATATAGGATGAGAACACCAATCATGTGCATTTCCATTTGACTTTATTTGATCTTAGAGAAATTAAAGTTGCTGTCAGACTGCTACTAACTCTGAGAGAGATTATAATTAAAAAAAAACAACCCTTTTTAAAAATGTTTAAGCAGCTAACTTGATATATTTTTAAAACAAGATTATGATAAATGCAGCTAACATTTTTTGATGTGATGTACTTTGAACTCTGTATGGCATTAAGCTTGGCACAGAATGTAAATTTGATTAAGAAAACAATATTTCTGTAATTATAAATATTAAGTAAAAATATGTGAAATGGACATGTCTCACTGAAAGTGGGTTAAATGCTGGCACACTGATTGGTCTAAAAATGCAATTGCCAGTGGAAATTTATAATTTGCTTGATGTTTTGAATGGAATCCTGAAACAAGTGATGGCTGGTTTTCTGCCATTCAAGATGTTTTTCTTGGAGTTTACATATAATTGTTCCTAAAAAGTAACACAGGAGGAAAAAAGACTGAAATACAGACATGAATACTTAAGAAGCTAAAAACAACCAAGCAGTTTGTTTCTGATTTTTTTTGGTTGGTTTTTTATGTTTTTGGGGGTTTTTTTGGTTTTTTTTCCTTAGGTTTTCGGTCAGATTCTAGACATCACTAACCATATATACATTAGCAAATGATTTGGCTGAATAAGAGTGGACTAGCAGATTAAAGCAGCTCACACTGGGGGTCTCTACATGTGGTGCAGTGTTTGATGTCAAATCAGACTTAGTTCAGTTCCCCAGACTAATCATCAGTTGCTCATTCAGATCCCAGTGCCTGCGGCAGTGGCTGGGATGCGTGTGGGAAGCAGCTTCCTGACTGTTTTCCCCTGGCAGGGATTCAGTTGTCCCAAATGAAATCCAAGTGGGTGACCTGTGCCCATATATGATAAGTGGCACTGGGAGTAGGACACCACAGCTCACCTCTAAACCTCTCTCCTGCACCACATGCAAGTGTTTGGTGGGTCTGGCCATTAAATCTGCAGGGAAGGTGGGACTGAGGTGTTTGTGTGTGAGTCAAGTAGGAGTTGCTGGGAAAGGCTGTCCTCCAAAGTGCTGGTCCTGAGACTGCTAAATAGGAAGCAGAAGGCTACATCTGCCTTTGGCACCACTGTGGGATGTTCCTAGTGCTGATTTCCCCAAATGGAGAAGGGTGCTGGATGAATTGGAGAGAGTTCAGAGAGGAAAGCCATGTGAATAATGAAAGGTCTGGAAAATATGTCTTACTGTGATAGACCTGAGGAGCTTGTTCTGTTTATCTAACAAAGAAAAGATAAAGAGGTGACTCGATCACAATCTATAAATATGTACATAGGGAACAGAAATTCAGTCACAGTACACTCTTTTGCTCTGACAGACAAAGAATATGATCTAGTCCAACTGCTGGAAGATGAAACTGGGAAGCCAGAGACAAGAAGAAAACAACATATTTTTAAACAAAAAGACTGCTTTGTAAAAGTTATGGTAGATATCCTACACCATTTCAGAACCTAGAATGGTGTTTCTTGTTACATATGTTCTCTAAATTACTGCTTAACAACTTTCCCTTCTCCCTCCCTGCCGGAGGATCACCAAATTTCTTCAGAAAAAAAGAAATACACAGATAGCCTAGTAGAGCAGTTACCCAATGCCTTTCATTTGCAATCAGCTCAAAATTAGAACAAACTCTGTATGTTTGTTTATTCCCTTTTCCCCCCTCAATTTTATTCACTTGTTTGTTGACATATGGGGGATAAATTTGCACATGCACACTCACGTACAGTATTTCCCACTACAAAGCTACAGCTACAATGACTTAACAAAATTTGGAGTAAACTAGTTTGTTAAATTTTAAAGATGTTTTATTCCCGACTGAAAATGTCCAGGTTCCACTAATAGTAGTGTAATAAAGACTTTCATACTGATTTTTTTTTTTTTAATTTTGGCTGGGGTTGAAGTGACCCAAAATGAAACACTTGGTTCAAATTTTTCTCATAGGATTTTTCTCTATAGCAAAATCGAAATCTTCTTGTGGAAAATTTCAGTTTTTCAGTAAGTGCATTCCCATTAGAAAATAACTGAACTGTGAAACTCCCAGCCAAGTCTAGTAATGATGGTCATGACAAAGATGGGGGAGAGAGAGGGAATGGATTTCATTGCACTTTCTCATTCAAAAGAGAGGGAAAACTGAGCTTCTCTATTCCCTTTGTTTTCGCAGTCAAGTTTCCTGCCACTTCTAAAGCACAAACTCCTTATGCATATGCATTTATTGCTTGGGTATCAAACTGATAATATATTAAAAGGATTATGATTTACTGCTGTAATTATTGGCCTCCCAACTTTCACCCACAATTATTGTGTGCATATATCTTCCAGCTTGCAAAATCCCCACTTGCCCATATAAATGATGTGATTGCATTACTCTGTACTTTCTTTGCTGTCCTAACTGCTCATTAGAGCAAACACCTCAAAGTGTGCATGTAAATATGTTGGGACTGCTTGGATTATCCGGCTCATTCCCTCTTTTTCTCTCTTAGGAGTTTTTCCTTCTTTTCTCTTGCCACCCCACTTATAGTGCTATAGTAGATCACCCTGCATTTTTCCTCTCATTTTTTCCAAGTGTCCAAATGTTCCTGTTTGATTTATTTATGTCTGACACTGTTTCGGAGTGCCCAGTTCATTTCCTTTGGGAGCTTTCTGTGCTAATCTTTCTCCATTTGTATGCTTATTTCCTCTGGCTCTGCTCTCCTACTCAGCTTCTCCAGTACATAGTTTTCCTCCTTTCTCCTGAATTTGTTTGCTCTGATGTTATCTTTTTCTTCCATTAGTCAGATCGCTTCTTCTTCTCTACTTCTCCCCAACTCTTTTTTCTCCTTCCTTTACATTTCTTCTTCCTGCACAACCCGCTATGATCCAGAGGGACCACTTTTTTTGCCCTGTCTCTGCAAAGGAGATCCACAGTGCACTTTTTTATACATCTTTTATTCCATTCTGTTCTTCCTTTTTTTCTCGCCTTATTTGTTTTTATTTTTCTTTCTACGCCTTCAACCTTTACCTATTGCCAGGTTCGAAGAGTTTCACTTGACAGGGGCGTCTGTTCCCCAGCCCCACATTCACCGGGGGAACTCGAGAGCAGATGACATCCCTAGCTGTCAGTGTGCTGCCCCAGGTCTCCCCTCAGGGCGATTCTGTTTCCCCCAGAGCAGGACAGAAGTGTTGAGGAAGTTGGTGGAAAGGAGATTGCAGGATGCTGCTGCCAGAGCCGGTGCAGCAGCCGTGCCCCGCCGAGCCCCGCAGCAGCCCAGGGGTGTGTATGCAGCTGCCTGTCTGCACTTGAAAGAAGTCGTGGGGCTGTGTACACGGTTCCATCCCAGGCTCTGGGCGTGCACCCTGCACTGGCCAGTGCTAATAGGCAAGTAAAAGCCCCCCGAGGGCCACTCACTTCCCTCTTGTAAATCCGCATGTGGTTTGAAGGGGTACTTTATGAGGTGCCTCTGTATACTTGATCCCTTGTATTTTTTCCTGCTGCGAAGCCCGAGGCTGTCTTTCACAGCTCCTGCAGTAAACCAGGGCCTCGGGATCCGGAGTGGCAGGGACACGGCGAGCAGTGAGTGTCGGCTTTCATGGAAGCCGCAGGTGCTTTCCTCAGGGCCCTGCCGTGCGGGCCCTGCCGTGCGGGCCCTGCCGTGCGGGCAACGCAGGCAGGCGGCGGCTGAGGCTGCTCCGGCAGCTCAGTGCTCAGGTACTACATCTCTTGGTGGGTTTTTGTCCTTTTTCATCCTCTGCCATCACGGGAGAGCGGCTGTTTAGGCCTTTTGTCCCCTCTATGGTTCTATAGCTATGTTATAATTCATTGCGCAAGTGAAAAGCAAACAAGGAACTAGGACAGCAACAGAAGGCCTTGAAAGAGATGATGATAAGGAAGTCCGTGGGAAGACCTGCTCCCGTATCTCCTCCTCCATGCCCATTCACTCCTGTGACTCGGTGCCACAGAGCATCTCCTCTGCCAAGAAGCACAGCCCCCTTACACAAAGAGGATGTGGCTGATACCTGACTTTGCCTTTCCTACAGGAGAAATGGAAGTGGGACTTCTGGGACTCTCTTTGCACCTTGGCAAGATGGACAGCTGCTCTCTGAAATCCAGCATCTGTTTAAGACCCATAAGGACCATCAGAATGTATGTCCCGAATCCACAGAAACAACCTACTGTGGAGATCTCTGTAAAGAGGTATTAGGCAGTCATTTAAAATAAGCAAAACATAATGCGAAATGCTCCAAAATATCTCTTTCAAAAGTCTTGAGCATGGTGGACACAGACTGCAGCATTTTTGAAAAGGAAAAAAATATCAGTGTCTTTATCCCTGACCCCTGCAGTTTCATGATGTTACAGGAAGAGAATGAACTGGCTACAGACAGGGTTTTTGGAGCTGCTGTCCTACCAGCTAGTGATTATCAGATTGTCTGCCTGTAATGACATATCCAGTCATATGTTTTCCCCATCAAGGCCAAAATAAATGAAAGGAAGAAACAAAGGAGTGTAAGAGTCCAGCACTTCATTCTTCATACTTCAAGAGCTGTAGCAACAAATACTAGGGAGGAATTCCCAAGTGAGAAATGATACCAGTTCAAGGTCACATAAGCTGATGCATGGAAGTACATTACAAGAAAACTAGAAAGCTATTTTGGGGACAGACATTGTTTACTGAATGCTTGGAGGGAATTTTTTTTTTATGTTCAGTGCCTGGGCTCTGGGTTAGCAGTTGAGCCAACGTTTCTGAAGCAAGGGGCTGGGAACTGGGGGATTCTGTGTGCTGCTTCTGGGGATCAGAGGTTAAACTACTCCTTCTTCGCTAAACTCAGGAAAGCTTGCATTTTTCACAGTTGGGACTATAAACATTATGTGTTCTTAATAGCCCTGCAGAAGAAGTTAATTTCTTAGTTTGATGACAGTCAGTTTCATGGGGCAGAGCTGAATGCTTTTGTTACTGAAGTCATTGGAAGCAATGTGGAGGCAGCTTTCTCTAGGGAGAAGGTGTGTAAGTGGGTCTGTTCCTTGGAGAAATGCTGGTTTTCATGGAGCTCCCACACTTAGTGTGATGCAAAATGTGCTGCTGTGTTCCCCTAGCAGCAGGGCGTGTGGGGATCTTTTAGATCCTCCTTTTCCACCTAGGAAAAAAGGAGGATCTACATCCATGGAGCTACACAGGACCTACCAGGCTTCACAGGGATCAGGAAGAAATGCTAATGACAGATGACAAAGCCAAATCTCATGAGAGGCGAGAGCAGGGAAGGAGCCCCAGAGCACTGGTAGATGCCTGCCCCCTCCTTCCTTGCATCCCTGTGGGATAGGTCTGTGCCCTGGGGACTATAAGGGGATTCCCTGGCAGTGTAGGCAGTGCTGTGAGCAGAGCCCAAACAGCCTTTGCACAGGTCTCACCAGCATCCACCCTGGGGCAGGAGCACCAGCAAAGGCTGCCCCAATGACTCATGTACAAATGTCTTTCTTTTGACTTGTTAGGGCTGCAAGCTCAATTGAGAACTGCTTGCACTAACCAAAACTCTGCCTGAAGTTAAACTGGCTGTCAGGTCACACAAGAAAATGGGCCTTATTTTCTACCTTCCTGTGGGACCTGGAGTAGTGTATGATTTCTCCAGGAGGCACCTCTTCTCCTAAACACAGCACAGTGGGCCTGAGTAAGCCTTTCCGACGGGAGCATCACTGACGATGATACATTTCTGCTGGCCACTTCAGACTTGCCAAACAAACAGACAGCTTGTTTGAAAAAAATCCCCTGTGAGGGCTAATCATAACAACATTTGCACTGCTCGATTCTTGCTCCATTCAGTCATTGCAGATGGTGAATGCATCCTCATGGGGACTGTCTACTGTACCTTTGCTGGGGCTGCCCCCAGCCTGGGGGTGCCTCCCCATTATTATTAATAATAAATTTGCAGGACTGGCATGTGCTGCCTCTGCTTCCTGCAGCAGCTGAAGCCAAGCCTGTAAAACAGGTCTAATTTTAGAGCAGACAGAGCTTAGCACAGAGTGAGACCAAACCTGGGAAATGTTGCGTTTTCATTGTTTCCTCAGCTGTGGATGAAGATCTCCCATGGATGTTTGGGGGAGTTTCTCCCAGACACATGAGCCCTTGCCTCTAGTTGCATCTCACAGAAGCTCTGTCTCCAAAACCCTGGTGACATCAGCCTCTTTTTTCCTCTTTGTTTCCTTGTCTTTAAAGTGGGAGACTGTTATTTTCCTACAGTGCTTCAAAAAGGGAGACATTAATTGTGAGAATTTGTAATGAACATTGCTCAAGTGTTTGAATAATAAGATGTTGAGGGCTTTGTTTTGTGAGGTAGTGCTTTAAATGCAATGCAATTTGTTTAGGCTTCCTGGGAAATTATGAAGTGCATGTATATGTGTGTGCATGGAGGGCACAGGGAAATCTGAGACCAGATTTTATGTGTGCAGGGAAAGATTTACAGATGACATTTTTTGATGACTTCTTGCCATCCGTCAGTTTAATGGTGCTGCTTGCTGCTGAACTTTTAATGTTTTATCATTTGGCAATAGCAGAGGGAAAACCTATGGTGAGGCTGGTCCCTGCTTGAGTGATGTATATCTGGAAACTTTAACTAGCCCCTGCTGCACTGCTGGACACATAACCCCAGCACTTTGTCATGTGAAAGGCTATCAGGTGGCACAGCAGTGTGGAGTCATTTCAGAGGGCACATTGGAATATGTTGCACGAGGAAAGATACTCTTTGCTCAAGAGGTTTTTCTTGTAAACACACTGACCGACAAGCTGAAACAAAGCTACTGAGCCATGGCAAAGAAAAAGGAAAAGTCACACTTCCTTTGTGTTCAGCAGACTGTTGTCAGTTGACGAAGTCTGCTATTACTGACCTTAAGAAGGCCTATTTTGTTACTGTGAGAGGTTTTCCTGTTCTCTGGATGGATTAACTTGAGCTTAGAATATCCCACTCTTTTTATTGCAGGCTTTCATCTCTGCCCATTTTGTCAACATCCTCCAGAAAACACGAGTCAACTGACAGAGTGACACTGTTGGAGGTGAGAGATGTTGACTGCATTATTTTCATTACTGTTTTTACTAAGTGGCCATACAGAGTTCTCATTTAATACTTCTGTGCTAATTAAAACTATAATTTAAAACACTTTCATAAAGCTTAAATTGTCCTCTTTTGGTCTGGGAATGAGACAAAACCATTTGCAAGGTTTTTTTATTTGTTTTGGAACAGAGTATCAGAAAAGTGAGAAAGGAAGAGAAAGGCTCCTTGAGTGCAAGGCACTCAGTGCTAGTTCCAATGTTAAACTTAAGTCAGGCTTCAAACCACAGACCAATTATAAGGTATTTCTATGAAGTACTTATTACACTGAAACTGTATTATGGATGGACAAGGAAAGGTGTTCCAGTAGTATAATGCAACCAACCCTCTACTTTGGTCCTGAAGACTGAGTGTTTCTAGCAGTTTCTCTCCCTGCAATCCTGCTTCCTGCACTTTCAGATGTTATGGCTGGAGGGATTGTTGTTATTATCTATTAGAACACAGTCTGTGGAATTGAATCACCAGCTAGAACAGATAGGAAGATATCCCATCTTTAAATAACACAGGGAAGACTGTCTATCCCATTCCTAGATAAATTGTTGCGGTGTTTAATTCCCTCCCTTGTTAAAATCTTGGCATTTATCTAGTTCAGATTAATATAGTGTTGGATTCCACCTACTGGATGTCATGTCTCTGTCTACTAATTCACAGATCCCCCGGTATAGGAAATATAATACAGCTACTTGCAAGCTAAAACCGAACAGAATTTGGAATTTTCACACAGTGGGCAGATGCGACTTGTCAACATTTGTTTTCACTCCAAATGACACAAACTGAAAAGCCTTATTAACATAAAGGAAACCCAGAATGGAAACATACAAACAAACAAACCAATCTAAACAAAATTATCATTTTCTTTAATGTAGGACCCTTGTTGTTTGAATGTACTAAATTAATTGACCAGAGCTTTCTTTTGTGTCAGTTCAATATTAAAAACAAATATTTTCCCATAATGCTGCATTGCTCCTGGGAATTACAGCCTGAACAAACACTGTCCTTATTCAACTTAGGCAGAGGCTTCTTGGCTGGACTACAGCTCCTGTAATGTTATATACAACTCTGAATTAAGTGACAAATTACTCTGTGGCTGGCCTGTAGAAGAAAACAGGTACCTATAGCACCGATAAATGTGTTCACAAGAAGGTGAAGTTTAAAGTTTCCTTCAACAGAATAAAATGAGAAGCAGAGTGGCTTACAGTGAGCTATTTAATTTTGCTGTCCTGAAGGAAAATTAACATTATTTTTTCTTTATAGAAATTTTTGTGGAAATTTCATTTTCTATTGTTGAGACAGAATACCCAGCCAGCCCTATTCTAAACCACAGATAAATCACCATTTATCCTCCTATTGGATAAATTAAATGAACTAAGATTTACTTTTTTTAGGCTCTCACTAACAGCTTTTGCCAATTGCAAATATATTTGCATTTCTTTCTTGAACTCTTTCCTGTTTTTCAATAGTATGCTTTAAAATGTGAACATTGAAGCTGGACCTGTGGTCCTTTCACTATAAGTATTCCAAAGAACAGTGAGCATTTGCCTTTCCATCTTTGTGTTTTATAGTCCCCTGCTTGCAATACCAAGACCCCATTTTCTCTTTTTGTCTGTTTTTGCATTGAATGAGGAACTCTTCTGCAGCTCTTGTGCATGGCTGGTTATCAGCCACGACCTCTAAATCCTTTTTTAGTTCTCTTTTTCTAAAATATAGTCCAGTTCTTCACTATACAAACTATCTGGGATATTTAGAGTTATGTTTAACGGAACATTAAAATAAGTTTGTTTTTTTTTTTCTAAAGAGGTCAAGTTACCATTCAAATTAGCTTGCATGTAGAACAGATCTGCTTTTCTCATTATTTACCACTCTATGATTTTTTTGTCATCTGCACACTTAGCAAGAAATGGATACAGATTTTTTATACTGGATCACAGATAAATATATATTAAATAATGAAAGCAAATAAAAATGGGCCTCCTTTAAAATAGTCTCACTGTAAGGGTACTCTCCATTGAGTTCCTCTGGGGATTTCTCATTTCTTCCTGTGTTTATTATGTGCTACACTGCCTTTCTAGAAGACCCATTTTCTGGCATGTTGTGCCATGCTGAACTTGGACATTAGCAGGAGTGTATGGCATTGGAAGAATTGTTTAAGATGTTTAAGATACTTTTGTAGCTGCTGTCTAAAACCACCCTGCTGAGTTTGGGGACATAAAATACTGAAGTAGAACTGAATGAATCCAATATACCCATGAAGACACCATTTTCCACCTAACTGCAAAAGAGCCCTACTCTGCATCACTGGCAAAGGCCTTATCTTTTTTGTCTATTCTGATTGTTGTCTTACACCTATGGGAATTGTGTTTATAACATCTGATATGTTTATAACCTTAGTCATATAAGCTAGGAATACATACTTGGTGCTTTGATACTTGGCTACTAAAGTCATGACATTATTTTTTTTTCATCTATTGAAGTATTTTCCATTGCACTTGCATTTTACTCTGGAAGGTTGGTTGTTTTTCTTATATAGGTAGAAGAAGAAAGAACAGAAAGATTTCCCAGTGTTTAAGAGCAGAAATAATCTGGATCTGGAAGTGTGACTAGTGTGTTGAAATCCCACAGAGTGATACTCCCCTGCAAATCACAGCCATGGGGAGGATGTGAAATTGTGTTTGAAGTTTGGTCTGCTTTTCTTGCAAGCATATTTGACATCATCTTCCTACTTACCTGCATGAAATATCCAAATCTCTCGTGACAAATCCAGGCTGTTGACAACTTTAAAATTATTAAATTATATCTGTGTTAATGGTTTACACTCAGATGACACAAAGATGAGGTTTTACTTTCAGCTATCCAACAAAAGTGGTGGGTCCATGAGGAAATATTTATTGAATCAGGAGCTGCAGATCACTGTGTCTATGCCAGGGGTCCAGTGGGCTCTGCTTCTCTCATGTCTCTTCAACAAGAGATGGTAACTGTGATCACACCCAGGCTTGCAGTGCCAGCTTATAGCACATGAGACCATAGGCTGACCAGCATAGCTGTAAAACCATAGGGTGATTTCAGTTCAAATGCTGCTTTGAGATACCAGCTACAGAGAAAAGAGTTCAAGGTACCCCATGATGATATTTGTCAGAGGAGGATGTTTTTGGTGGCTATCAGTGTGGTGTCTGTGTGGGAAGTGTCTGCTGGAAGTGTGTTTTAGGGTCATTGTCTAAGGGACTACAAGGTGTTAAACATCTTCCACTTATCCTGGTTTCTCTGATACCTGGATTCACCTGTATCATCCTTTCCTGTAGAAAGGATGGATTAGTATATACTGAGGAACCTCCTGTTGAGCTTGGTTGTATGTACAGAAGACACGTGATTTAGAAGGCTCAGGCTGGAAGAATGGGAATTTTTCATTATCCTGTAGGTGTGGCATTTAGGGACATGGTTTAGCAGTGGGCTTGGCAGTGCTGGGTTAATGATTAAATCTGATGGACTTAGAGGTCTTTTCCAACACAAAAGATTCTGTGCCTCTGTGATTCTATCCTGCCCCTTCATGTCACTCTTGCAGGGTGTTCCCAAGGGCAATCAGTGATGTAGTAAAGTGACCACCCCAGGACAGTACCCAAAGGGTTCAAGGGATTTTGCATGACATGACCGAGCCCAGGAAGTTCATATACAGCAGATATTATATGCAAGATTTGTACAGGGGAATGACTCCTCCACTGGAAAATTCAAACTTGAAAGGAGTAGAAGGAGCCAGCTCCCTGGTCAGTGAGGAGAGAAATTCTCTGATTTCAAGAAGAGATATAGCTTTAAGAAATAAGACTGAGAGGAACTCTTTTTCTCCAGAGTAGCCTTGGGCTAAACTCAGCTCATAGAAAACAAACCAAGGCCATGTGTCTTACATATCCAATGCACAGCCCTGAAACAACCCACAGTCATGGATCAAAAGCGAAAGTGCTCATTGTTTGCACAGAGTTTGCTCAATACTTCAACTACAGTCATGTATGAATCCAGGGAAAGCAATAAAAGGGAAAACAGTTGTTTGGGAGAACAATTTATTAGGATTAATTTCTCTGTTTTATTCCTTCTTCCCAGTTCTTTGGACTGGAGGGTTGTTAGCAGTATTTTAAAAACTGGATACAAAATCTAAGTTAAATCCCTCTGCACAGACCCAGCCTTAAGGCTCTCATTACACTACAGTGCCATGAAAGCCTGGTTTTAAAGGTTGCCCTGGTGTGTGGGCATGTTGGCGCTCATCCTCTGTGATCTGGTGATGCTCCAAAACACTGCCTGCAGGCTCCTGGTTTCTTACCAGGTCCCTATTTGCATAAGAAAAGACTTCCTATTTTAAAACCTTCTCTAACCTACAAATTAGTGTAGATGAATGGCCTCTTGTTGGAACTGGAGTGGTTATCCAAGTTCCAACAATAGCACAGCCAATGCCAGATTTTAAACCCTCATAATGCATATAATTGTGTGATATTATACCAGAGGGGAAATTTGTTCTGTAGTCCAGCTGGTGATTAGCTTTACGTTGAGGCATGGAGATTGGATATCCCTTGAAACTTTATCCTGGTTAACGTAACTACAGCTGGTATTTTGTGGTATAACAATTCAACCCTTACTCCTGAGAGCAGTCCCATTGGACAGACCTGGAAGTCCTCACTCGGAGTTTACTCAGGCAGAAATTTTACCACCTTCATTTGAAGTTTTGATGCAATAAAGCCCAAGTGTGAGCACCAGAAGATGATGCACCAGCATCCCTTTGTTGGTTGGACAGTGTTTTTTCACTTGAATAAGGTTTGCAAACCCCAAACTTGACGTAAATATCTGCTAGAAATGTAGGGACCACTAAGCTGTATTTTACTAATAGCTCATCTACACTAATATCCCAGAATCACTGACAGCAGCTACAACACTTCTATGGAGGTTACTATTAACTCAGTATTCTGT